AAAAAAAAAAACAAACTAAGAGCATCATTTAAGCATGGAAGGGCAAAAGAGGCTGAGCTCCAAAATGAAATCTGAAGATTAAAATAGACACAAAAGCCAGAAAAAGAGGAGCCTAAGCAAACTGAATGGTGCCTGGAATGGCAAAGAGAGCACTACACCTCTTCAGGGAGTCCAAAGTTCACCTCATTTTAAAATTTCACCATTTGTTGATATTCTAAGATCTGAAAGAGCATAAATTTGTAAGTGATAGAGCACAAAGGGTCAATTTTGTAGACAAGTTCAAAACAGAGGTTGTTTGCCATGAATGGTGATTGCTCTCCTCTGGAATATGAGGTTAACTTCACATCTCAGACTGCACCGATGGCAAGTCTGGCCAAGTTCATAACCAGTTTCCTCCTTAATGGAGTGTAAATAGTAAAGACACTTTCTGGTGTACCTTGCTGAGTATGCTGGGTCGTGAGGCATCACGTTCTGGTTCATAGATGGGACAGAGCAACAACAGGACAAGTGTCTTCAAAATGATGGCTTTGCAAAAGGAAGGTCAGGAGAATATGGGAACAACAAAAGAGCAAATGTTAGGATGCCTCGAATTATCAGTGCTCTTACCTAAAATGATAAAATTTGAGTAATTCAAGTGATTGTACTCTCCTATTGTCTTATTATTTTTAAAACTACACTTTATAACACAAATATACTTTCTTCATTCTGGGGACATTATTGAAAGAGCAGATGTGATTGCTGGGTGGCGGTGTTTCTAGGCAATTGCCAGCTCACCAAAAGCTACTTTTAAAAGTGTACTAAATGTACAAATAATGCCCACTCTGTGATAGCCCCCTAAGAAATTCAGCCTGATAGGCAGACTTCTGGAAACCTGGGACCCATGTCCGATCTAGGAACAGTGACCATGCCAGCCCATCAGGAAGGCTTGGGACCACTGCCTTAATAGCAAGCTGAATCCTTTTGAGGTGTAGCAAAACATTCTACCTGATGTCCTGGATCTTCTGATATCCAAAAGGGTTTTCACAATTGGATCAAATGATAGGCAAATAGCCAGTGGGCTTTTCTCTCTTGCTATATTTATGGAGCTTTTTAAAGAACATCTGTAACTTAAGAGGAAGTGTGGGTGCCATGTGTGCTTGGATGGGTTTCTGCAGCCTAAGACAACCACATCAGGCTAGTCATTAATTACAGCAGAAGACAAGCTGGTTTATCATTGATAGTGTGGGGCTCCGGGAATCTGTTCCATACGTAGTTGGAGGCGTTGAGATAAAGCCAGCTGCCATTTTCTTGGAAAGAGCCATATGGACTTCGGAAATGTGTCTAGAACACAACCCAACTAGACCATCACAGTTTAGACCCTCAAACTACTGTGTAGCCTTCTATGTGGTCTTCCAAAATCTAATCTCCTTCATGCATCCTACCTCATACAACTCTTACCAATTTATTCCTTGTTCTGACAGACAGGTCCCTTCTAAACCACACATCTGATTAATTACTCTGAGAGCTTAACGATGTATAGAATCCCCACTGCCTCAAAAGCAGAGACCAAACTAAAAGCTCTTTATCTCTCTCCCCATTCTTCCTTCTTGTCCTATTTCCTGACATCCTGTCACTTTCCCAGCACTACCATGAATGCCAGTGCCCTATTGATCCATATTACTTGATCTCATAATGCGTTAGTATTTCCTTGCCATTGTCAAGGCTGTTTTCTCCACATTTATTTATTCATTTATTTAGCAAAATATATATAAATACTCCTAATTTTACAATGGGGTTATGTTCCAATAAATACGTCATTAGTTGAAAATATCACAAGTTGAAAAATGCATTTAATATACCTCACCTCCCACATCATGGGTTAGCAACATGGCACACTGAAGAACATTGGCTCCCTTGTAATAGGAAGCCATGGTTAATTACTGCTGCCTAACATGGCAAGAAAGTACTGTACTACATATCGCTATTGTAAGAAAAGATGAAAATTCAAATTTTGAAATAATGAATGCACATAGCTTCTGTACCATTGTGAGGTAAAAAAAAATCATAACTTGAAACATCAAAAGTTGAAGATTATCTATATAATAAATACTTATTATGGGCCAGGCATTCTTAAGGGTAGAACCACTTATATAATGGTAATCTCTCTATATTTTAAAAAATAAATTTAAATAATGTAACCCATAGGTGTCTTATTGGATTATCAATATCCATTAATTTGTCACACATACATTAAACATCAACTATGCTATGTTAGAGATACTCTATTTGACATGAGAATGCAATCACCACAGTTTCTGCCTTTGGAATCTCAGAGCCTAGTGGTAGAGATTAATAAGTAAACTAATTATTAATGTGACAAAGGTCTGCATGTGCTGGGCACCCTGGGAGGAACCCTTCAAAGGAGACGATGCTTGGGATAAACACTGGACCTGGAATTGGATGAGAAAGGTTAAGTGAGGAAAGAGTAATAAGATAGAATGAGAAGCATGGATTAAACCAATGGTAGCTGGAATGTAGGTGATAACTGGATGTGAGTGAGTGTGTGATTGAGTGAGTGGAGTCTAGGATAGCTTTAAGGCTTCTGGCTTACCACGATGTGTAACAACACCATTTACCAAAATAATGAATATAGGAGGAAGAGGTGTGGAGAGGGAAGTGGAAGAAGACCAATTCTATTTTGGATATTTGAGTTTCGTGTGTCATGGCACTGAAGCCTGAATACTGATTGCCTTGATGAGAGCAACCCCAACTTGTTAGGGTTTTGTGCTTCTGCCAGCTGCAAGCTTCATGGAAAGGTCCCTGGGAGACCTCAAGCCATTCAATGGAAGCTAAAAGGATGGAGCAAAGAGAAATCAAATTCATGGGAAGTACTCGTTGGTCATATTGATAAGAAAACATTGATGTTCCGTGCCTGCCTCGCAAGTGCAAGGATTCGAGTTCAATCCCTGGTACCAAATACACACACACACACACACACACACACACACACATTGATGAGAGGATCCAACACAGCTGAGTAAAGGAAGAGTTACATTGGAGAGATTCAGGGAGATCAACTAAAAACCCAAGTAACTGGAAGCAGGATAGGGATATACACCTTGATACAGTAAATCAATTTAAAAAAAGATACATGTAGATTTAAAAAGCAACATTTGGATGGCATTTAAAAAAAGGTGAAGTGGGTTGCCAAGGCTCCCACCCTCACCCATCCCAGCAACAGTCATCTTGAGAAATTCTCAAATAGCTGGAGAGAAGCAAGGATTGCTGCAGAAACAAGCCTCCCAGGATAGACTTGGGCTATAGGGCTCCTTCACCCTATCACCCCTTCTCCAAACACGGAGGAAGTTACAACACTGTGGCATCCTCACCAGTGTTCACCAAGGTCATGGGAAGCTCTCTCCCCACTCACCTGACCTCAGGTAGTGAGAGGATAAGCAAGTGAATGGTGAATGTCCATTCTATCCAGCCACTTGTGCCTGCCATCATTTGGTATTCCAGTACTGGGCCCATGGAAGTCCCACTGAGTGTCCCAGACATGCCCAAGTTACCGCTGGGTGCCTCAGATTGGTCCCATGCCCACCAGCATCTCCATCTGGCACACATCTAACACTAGACCTGTTTGAGTCTGTGCCTGGCATCCCAAGATTGCTTGAGTCTCCACCCTGCACTCACTGTTCTGTGCCATCCCTACACCCATCAAAGACTCCATCTGTCCTGGGCATCTTGGGTGTCCAAGGGAGCTCCAGTACCACATGAGTCTCTACCCGGTGCCCTGAGCCTTCTGGAGGCCCCTATTCAGTACCAGGCATTCCATCCCTTCATGGGGTACATTGGAGTTGACATGCTACACATTGCCAACTAGTAGTGTATAGCTAACCACTTAGTCCCGGATGCATCTGGGTTTTGGTTAAGTGGCCCAGAACTGCTGGGGTTTCTACCTGGCATATTAGGCTAGTCTCATGCCCAGTGGAGAGTTACCTAGTTTTCATCACTGGTAAAAGTTCTGCCTGATCTTCCTGGTGCCCTGGCTTTGAGCGAGTGCACCCAGCATCCAGCACTTGCCCTGGGCCCACTGCAATTTCCCCACATCAGTCCCAAGCACACCTGTGTCTCTATTGGGTGTCCTCAGCTGGCACA